TACAAAGTAAGTAAAACCGTCAGTGTGGATTGGGCAATTATATCAATTTATAAAGTCTGCTTTTTATTTCGGCTAAATTGGGACATATAAGAAAATAAAAAATGGTAATTTTTAAAGCTCATTCCTTAAATGAAAAATATATATCTAGAATCTTTCTAAAAAGTAGATAAAAATAGTAGAGACTAGAAACTAGTACATTTAAACATAATCAGAATAATCTATTAACTACAGCTTTATTGCATTGCATTTTATACCTGGCTACTTATGGTCAAGTTTACATAAATGCTGCAGCCAACTTGCAGTGTGGTAAATGCATATAAACCATATAATACAAAATGAAGATGCATGCCTCAGAAGATATATTTTAAAAATTGGTTATTGAATATCATAGTCATAGAGAAGACTTCCCTTTTAAGTTTCAAATATGACAGGAAACATTTCCGTCTTTGGATATTTTCCTTTAGCAAGCATACCAGACAACATAAATGATTTGCCTGAACGATATTTAATAGCCTGACATTTAACATACCCAGTACACTCTAACCATCTCTCTAGGCTGTATATAAGAAATATTCATATGGATTTAGTTCCTGCATATTTAGCAAATATTCGAGTGTATATTGCTTTTGCTGGCAATACCAACTATTGTATATCAGATGACAATTTTGTAATTCATAATCTGCCACATCTCACCTTCTTTAAGGTCTTGGTATGTGAAAAAGTCTGCTACTTTCATATTATATATATATATATTATATATATATATATATATATATTATATATATATATATATATATACACACATAGACATACACATTAACATACATGTATATATATACACACACACATATGTGATATGATGTATATGTATATGTATATGTATATGTATATATATATATATATATATATATATATATATATAAATTTATGTAAGGCATATTTTCATAACGTTTTTTTCGTACAATGTACATGCATATAGCATGTGTCTATATGTATATATATTTTTCCAGATATAAAAAGAGTATTGTCAAAATGTCCCCAAGCAATACACATACATGTATCCTCTCGGCATATTTACAGATGTATAACAAAAAACCTTAGTATTGCAAGTCAAAGATGTTAACATTGGTTAGCAACAGTTAAGAGCAATATGAGATACGATCGAGCTATAGGTAGGAATCAAACACGATTAAAAAGGTGACGGATGGAAAAATAAGGTTATGATGACATCTTTCCTGTTCACAATCAGTTATTTCATGATAATGCTTGTTCCGGACGTATCCTGATGTGATAATAATGAAAACGAACATTTTGTTACTTTTATTCTGATAATGAAGATGCACATCTTTGAATGAATATGTAATAATGCTATAGCTGCACCGGAAACTCCATTCAAGCACACTGATCACCAGGTCATATACTGGTAAAGTTATGATCTCAAAGTAGGTATTGTTCAATTTAGACAAAAATATGATCTGTCTTTTCTGGAATTAGTTCACTTACACAAACCTCATCTAAATGTAAGAACACAAGGAAAGCCAAATGGTCATATTCCTTCTTTTTGATAATCTTGTTTCATTTTATCTATTTTTTTTAACGATTAGTTGATTTGTAGAAAGATCGTGAATTACTTTCATGTATGAACACTTCAGTGGCTGTGATATCACAAACCTACAATCTATATGTGTGTGCTGGCATGATACTGATTATTGCATGGTCTCTGTATCTAATACATATTATAAAATGATATACAACTTTGTGAATTCCATTCTTCACTGGTAACTCTGTCAGTACAAATATAAAGTAAAAACAAGAAAATCAAATAAAAAATACTTGTTTCTCATTCCTTCCAGCCAATTGTGATTATTAAAAAACAGTTCATCAAAAATCACTTTTATAAACAAAATCTAATCTTAGTGCATGTTTCATAAATGCATCATTTTACAGTTGAGATAATATGCTTTCCGTGTTACATAAACATTGTAAAAGTAACCCAAGGCAACTGATAAGATCAAATGCACGTTAAGGTAAATGTAAATATCATATATTGCACTCACTCTTCTGTAACAAGACATTCTCAAACTCTCCAGTACATAAATCTATAAATGAATTCATGAAAGTCCATCTCATTCTGACCTGAAACATTTCTCCTCCCATTACAAGGTCAAAAAACTCTTTTGGCCATTGCTTCGCTACGCACTAGAAACCCGAAACCACCATTCATTCTAAACGTCCCTCCGCATTTAGATAGACGTGGCTCTCTGTCTGGCCGGCTCGATCATCCCGACGCGCTCCAGGAAGGCCACCATCAGCTCCTGGTACTCGACTGGGTGCCGCTGGAAGTGGGTCACGTGAGGAGACTTTTGCCAGTGCCCGGTGTACACCTGCAAGGGGAGGGGCTCTCGATAAAGTGTCAGGTAAGGTAACCTCGAAGTAAGGATAATATGCTGACGACACTCAAATATGATAATGCTTTTGGTCATGAGAACAGGGCAGGACTGGTGTAATTTGATGATGATAACAATCACTATACTATTAGTGCTAGTAATAACAGTGACAATAATAATAACAGACGTAACACACTTTCACAGGCTTTGATAAGTCATTCATCTGGTTTCCAGGTTTTGATCAGTAAAGAAAGGCTTCTAAAGGATTTGAGAGCCAGTGACCTAGGAAGCAGTCTGAATTACCTGATGGCCCTTAGCCTCCCATTTCTTGTAGACCCTCGCATTCATCTCTGGCGTGGAGACCGGGTCGTTGTCTGAGAAAAGGAACAAGCCAGGGACGCCCACAAAGTTCTGGTGCATCTTTTGGCTTGCTCTTTCGTAGTGTATCGTTGCTGTGTCATACTGGATTTTCAAGTACCATCTGTAAGACGTTTGTACAGTACATTTGAGACGGTAAAATTTGAGACAAATCGCCTAAGCTCATAAGTCAGCAAGTTTTATATCTTAAATCCTCTATTAATGACAATTAGCTGTAATGCTCCTACTTTGACAACGGCATGAAGATACCAGCATGCCAGTACTCAGTCATAACTGAGTCAGCTTAGAGGGGATGTCCAGGTACAAACCAGGAATTTTCCGATTGCAAAGCTAGCAATCTACCACTGACCAATGCCACCTCCATAATTTATGCATCACACACAAGTAACGGCCCCTGTCAAGTGCCATACCAGTAAAACAAAAGACTCAACAAGGGCCAAGTGACATGTCAAATCACCACATACTGGAAATTTCAGGGAACTTACTCCAAATACTTCTTCATGGACTTCTGCAACAAGGCGTTATTTGTAATGGCCCGTGGCATGCCGTCGGGGATCCCATCGATGTCAACCCCGCTGTCCCAAATCTGGCCCACAAATCTGTTCAGGAGATGCCCATGTTTCTTGAAGTCATTTTCGACCTGTTGGAAAAAGGAGAACGCTTAAAAATACAACAGTGAATAATTGTCATCTCCTAAGAAGAGAGATGGAAAAAATAAAAGGGAGAATAGACAAAAAGCGAGACAAGAAACAGGATATTTATTCATCAACACCAGTAATAATACACGTGATGCAAGTACTTGAAGCTCACCTTCACCATGACTTCAGAGAACACGTAGCCTCCCACGCTGAAGCCATGAATCAGGACTGGGCTGTGAGATGGGTTGGCGTGGAGGAACTGCAATACCTGGTCTGCTGCAACCTGTGGGTCAAGAGAGCAGGTCACTGTTATTGATCAGAACAGCTCGATATCTTTGAAAAGGCAGCTGGTAATCGTAGGACCTGATACAGATTAAAATGGCAGTTACATTAACATAATTATAACAGTAACAATGCCAATGATAATCATAATGATATATATGAAAGCACCGAAAAGAATATTTATGACAGTAATATTACTACTACAAGTACTACTATTAATAATAACAGCAATACTACTATTCCTACTAAAGACAATAAACAACCAATCCTAAAATTCATTATATTTTAAAAAGGAACATAATAAATCCTAGTAATACCAACAAACGCATTAAACAACAATAACAAATAACAACACCAACAACAATACCCTTTATAACAATACTAATAACATCACTCACCTGCGACCCCTTGGTGGGCCTGAGCAGATCGAAGGGCGACACTCGCACTTTGAGCACATCGATGCCCAGGTTGGTGTAGAGTTGGGCGTATTTCCGGACGTGCCTCTCCTTGGCCATGAGCCAGCAGAAGAGCAGCGTCAGTGGCCTTTCTCGCTCGCCCAACGCTCTGGCGACCTGGCGGGGAAGCGAGGCTCGTGAGAGGAGGGCACAATGGCGAGGGGAGTTGGGTGGTGCGGCCGGAGGGAGTGACTTGACTGGTGAACTGAGGGAGTGACTGGAACAACTGGAGGGAGTGACTGGTGAACTGAGGGAGTGACTGGTGAACTGAGGAGTGACTGTGAACTGAGGGTGACTGAACTGAGGGAGTGACTGATGAACTGAGGATGACTGGTGAACTGAGGGAGTGTGAACTGAGGGAGTGACTGGTGAACTGACTGGTGAACTGAACTGAGGAGTGACTGGTGAACTGAGGAGTGACTGGTGAACTGAGGGAGTGACTGGTGAAACTGAGGGAGTGACTGAACTGAGGGAGTGACTGGTGAACTGAGGAGTGATGAACTGAGGAGTGACTGGTGAAACTGAGGAGTGACTGGTGAACTGAGGAGTGACTGGTGAACTGAGGGAGTGACTGGTGAACTGAGGGAGTGACTGGTGAACTGAGGGAGTGACTGTGAACTGAGGGAGTGACTGGTGAACTGAGGTGAACTGAGGGAGACTGGTGAACGAACTGAGGAGTGAGTGAACTGAGGGAGTGACTGAACTGAGTGACTGGTGAACTGAGGGAGTGACTGGTGAACTGAGGAGTGACTGAACTGAGGGAGTGACTGGTGAACTGAGAGTGACTGACTGGTGAACTGAGGGAGTGACTGGTGAAACTGAGGGAGTGACTGGTGAACTGAGGGGTGACTGGTGACTGAGGGAGTGACTGATGAACTGAGGGAGTGACTGGTGAACTGAGGGAGTGACCGGTGGGACGAACTGAGGCGGTTTCAGGACAGAGTGAAAATGTCGGGGAATTGCCAACAAAAACATAAGCTTTTCATCTTTTAAAAACATTCTAATTCAAATTCTTTCGATTTTATGAAAAGAAGGAAGGAAGACAAAGAAATCGCACTCTCCTCTCCATCTCCCTGGCATCTTCCCTTCCCTCACCTCCATGGTCTTCTTCGGAAGGGGCGCGTCGCTGGAAGTGAAGAATTCCATATTTCTGGAAAACCTGAGAGCGTGGAAGTCCCTGCACAGGACGAGGGACACCGCCGGCGCATAGCACTTGGTCGTTGAAGCCGACAAGGGAAGTGTGGCGCGAATCTGAAAGAGAACGGAGGTTGTTAGTCTTCCTAAAGGCGTGGTCGGAAATGCACAAGGCCCAGTCAATAGGTGGGGATGAGCATTAGCCTAAAATATCTTTTGATGTTCATCATTGTGATCCATAACGGGTAAGTTCTTAGTCTGGTACACTTTCCTAAAGTAGAGTCATAAAGGATCGTCAATAAAATAAGAAAGTATTATGTTACCCTTATTATCTTCCCACTATATAATACTTTCTTAGTCTGGTACACTTTCCTAAAGTAGAGTCATAAAGGATCGTCAATAAAATAAGAAAGTATTATATAGTGGGAAGATAATAAGGGTAAGATATTACACGAATTTAAGACTGGTGGTTCTTCATCTCTCGCCACACTGAATATACTAACTGGCCCTGTCCACCATTCATCATGATAACGGAGATATCAACACAAAACAATGGCAAAAGGAAGGTCTAACAACAGAATTCTAATCTAATCGCTTTCTATGCTGAATATTTACAGTAAAATTTATCAAATCAAATGAATACTTAAATATGTAAAAACCTTTTGAAACAAACACATGCTTTGATGAATCTGTCTATCACAGAAAACGTGTACGGTGTACGAAGGGGGAGGAGAGGGAGGAGAGAATACTGGGAAGGGAAGCACAAAAGAAGGGAGTAAAGAGAGGAGAGAGAAAGAGGGGAAGGAAGTGGGGAGAGATGATGTATTACGCACGTGAGAAGAGAAGAAGTGACAGAGAGGGAGAGGAAAGGAATGGGAAATGGCCAACAAGGGAACAAACAGGGGCATAGAGGAGGAGAAGATGGCGGGGGGAGGAGAGCGGAAGGAGAGGCACAGCCGACGGGCGGAGGGGCGCAGCGCAGGAGGGCAGCGAGTCCAAGGTGTTCTCAGACGCGCATGCCCTCATATCTCGCTGCAAGAAATTCGTATATACATGAGCTTTTGCTTCTATAGGACTCGAAAAAGGTATATATAATGTAGACATGGTAACGAACCTAACACAAATGCAATGTTTATCTTGTGTTTATGCAGAGGCATCACATTTCCCGCAGAGCAAGCACGAGTAATGTCAATGTCGACCGTTTGAGAGCAACTCAGCAGGTTGACAGGGAGGGTGACCTCAGCTGAAGCACACACACATACACAATTCTTACGGCATTTAGGCACGCTCGCTCCTCAACCGGTTCCACGGCGCCCAGGTCCTCATGTCGGGCGTGGAGTCCCTGATGGCCTCCTCATCCATCTCCGAGTCATCCAAGGGAGTCGCGAGTCTATTATACCATTTTGTGGATATGAAGGAGATGGCGACATTCCAGGTCCTGATGTTGAGTCTTATACATGGAGGTATCTTGATGATTTATATGATTTACTTGTTTCTTGAGCGAGTCAAGCCAGTGGCCTTTCCTTTCACCAACGCAAGGGGAACGTTTGGCGCAATGAGCTCGACGGCCATTGTCTGTACGTGTGTGAGAGAGATTACTAGTTTTTATTTGTATTTTTTTTTCTTTGGCCTCGTGGTAAGGCGGAAAAGTGACAGAAAACGAGGTACGTGACCACTTCATGCGTTGACAAATAGCCCACTGAAGAGGCAGTATGGAGTGTATTTCACACAGTACACTGATACACACCATGAAAACGAACTAATAATTTCTACCTTTGTTGACATCGGAGATATTGCGAAGAAATAACGAGGAAGCGAATCAATCAATCCACGAGAAAAAAACTCCCGACGTGTCTGAATAAACAACTTTTTCTTCCTTCTTTTTTAAACAGGGTTACTTTTTTCTCATGAACACTACCGCGTTCACGTCTACCTGGAAAAAAGTGACCTGGAAGAGCTCCAACTCGACCAGCGGAGACAGAGGCCCGTCCGGCTGACCTTGAGGCCCTTCGCCCAAGGACGCTCGCCCTCCGTGCTCCAGGACCAGGGAGCCTCCGCCGCCGGAACATACGACAAAGGGACTACAGAGGTCCTAGTCATTTGATTCACTTCTCATTTTCATCATTTCGGTAATGAATCATCTCCGACCGGCGATATTCATGTCGCTGTGGCCGGTCGCGCTCGTCTCGCACTCACGGGCGGGGTGGCGAGGACTCCGCTCAAGCCCTGGAGCGCCCCTCAGTCCGTTCCCGCGAGATGGGATAATGGCGAGGGCTGACGGCGCACAGGGACCGGGTCTCGAGATGGTCGCAGTACAAACACGGACACGAAGCGCAGTCTCAGGAGCCCGAACTTGACGGAATACTTTTCCTCTTTTGTGAGAACCGGTTTGCTCTGGGCTGGAATATTATGATTTTTCTCAGGAAGCAAAAATAAAGTCGATATGAAATGTCAAAATCCAAAAGAGTCAGTGGAACAGTATTCGCAAATTTTCAAAATGTGTTCTTGAATTTTGATAACACATATGAAAACAAGAACCAATTGCAAAGACACTCAGTACTGACATATTTTATGTCTACATAACAGTATTCGTAATAGCAGCAACAACAATAATAATAACGATGATAAATGAAATATCAATGATAATAATATTAATAATAATAATAATAATAATGACACCCATTACAGCGGTGATATGATGATGATAGCGATCACATCATCAGCTCAGATGATCGCATGGTGACTGGCGGGAGATCACCGACACACGCTGCTACATCTTAACCCTTTATCGGGCAAGTGACCATATATGATCACTTAAATACATGTATGTATATGAGGTAATTAGGATGTGTGCCCGGTGAAGGGGTTAAAGTCGGTCGTTTTCCTCAATATTATCAAATTCCTTAGTTTTCTCTCTCGACCTTCCTGTTAAATCCCAAGTGTAGGAACATCTCTTAACTAAAAGCGAAGGAAAAAAAATGCAGTCGACGCCCCATTTTCCCGGGCGATGCTAAAAATAAGTACACACTTCACTTGAAACGCGCCTGTAAGGTTTCCCGCCCACCCTGGCAAACGTTCTCGCACCTTCTCCCGTTTGCAGCCAGATTGGAGCCCCACAACCGCCCCGCCCGCAACTAGGCCGTCTGCTAAAGCTAAGCTGACCTGACCTGCCCTAACCTCCTTGTCTTAAGATCTGCACGTCCTCTTCACAGCCTTAACCCCGACCATAAAGAAGCCATATTCTGTAAACTAAAACTCTCTCTCTCTCTCTCTCTCTCTCTCTCTCTCTCTCTCTCTCTCTCTCTCTCTCTCTCTCACTTCCCTTTATTTCATGTATTACATGAGAGTGCATTTATAGAAGTTTGCCAAAGCTTTAACATATTACACATAAAGCTATCTGTGGCAAGCACTCTAGAAGTGAACACTAAAACGCAAGACTATGAAGGAAATGAACAAAAAAAAAGAAAGAAAGAAAGAAAGAAAGAAAGAAAGAAAGAAAGAAAGAAAGAAAGAAAGAGAAAGAAAGAAAGAAAGAAAGAAAGAAAAAAAACTAATGTTAGAAAAATAAATAAATAGAAGCTCAATTAAAACACTAGAAAATAGTCATTATGCACATCTGGTACTGGTTCAGGAGCCATACGTTGACGAGACTCTAACTGTTGCAGAGATATATTTATGCAAGGAATAACTATTATAATTAATGGAATAGTGTTTTGACTTTGACTTTTCTTCTCTTTCCCTCTCCCTCTCTCTTTTTTTCCTTTTCCTTTCCCTCTCTCTCTTTCTTTCCTTCTCCTTCTCTCTCTCTCTTTCCTTTCTTTCTCTCTTTGTCTCTTTCGCTCTTCCTCCTCTCTTTCTATCCTCTTTCCCTCTCCTCTCTCTTTCATTTTCTTTCCCTCTCCTTCTTCCCTCTTCCTCTCCCCCTCTCTCTCCCTCTGCACACATAGAAACACTCTCCTCTCTCTCTCCTTCTCTTCTTTTTTCTTTTCTCCTCTCCCTTTCCCTTTTCTGATGATGAAAGTGGTGAGGAGGATAATTATGGTTATGATAATGATGATGATGACAATGTTGGTATTGATTATACTGGCGATACTCTCTTCTGTCTGTCTGTCTGTCTCTCCATTTCCTCTCTCTCTCCTTCCCTCTGTGTGTGTGTCTCCTCTCTCTCATCTCTCCTCGTCTTCTCTCTCTCCCCCTCTCTCATCTCTCTCCTCTCTCTCCTCTCTTCTCCCTCTCTCTCTCTCTCTCTCTCTCTCCCTCTCTCTCTCTCTCCTCTCTCTCTCTCTCTCTCTCTCCCTCCCTCCTCCCTTCCCCTCTCTTCCTCTCTCTCTCTCTCTCTTCTCTCTCTCTCTCTTCTCTCTCCCCCCCCCCCTCTCTCTCTCTCTCTCTCTCTCTCTCTCTCTCTCTCTCTCTCTCTCTCTCTCTCTCTCCCTCCCTCCCTCTCTCCTCTCCTCTTCCCTCTCTCTCTCCCTCCCTCTCTCTCTCTCTCTCTCTCTCTCTCTCTCTCTCTCTCTTCTCTCTCTCTCTCTCTCTCTCTCTCTCTCTCTCTCTCTCTCTCTCTCTCTCTCTCCTCCCTCTTCCCAATCTGCGTGCGTCGTGAGGAGGCGAAGGGCAAGAGGCATTCGGCCAACTCGAAGGGACTTTCAACTTTTTACCTTTTCGTTTTTTTTTTTTTTTTTTAGACGCATGGGGGTGTGAGCAGCTTTTTGCCCATCGGCGTGTACCCATTACCATACCACTTCTTTCGTGCCTTCTGCGTGTTTTGCGTGAAAGCCTTTGCTGCATGATAATAATAATAATAATAATAATAATAATAATAATAATAATAATAATAATAATGACCCATTACAGCGGAGATATGATGATGATGTATGATAAGTTTCGTTGATCAGTGAAGATGCAACAGGATTCAGGGAAATAACTCACTCCAGGTTGAGGACCAATATATGCTAATAATTAGAATGATAATGCTAATGGCAAAAACAAAAACAAAGATAATACTATAAGTAGTAGTATAGTAGTAGTGGTAATAATGATGATGATGATGATGATGATGATATGATTGATGATATATGATGATGATGATGATATATATGATGATGATGATATGACGATGATGATGATGATAATAAATAATGATGATCATGAAAAATAAAAAACAATAATAACAACAACAGGAATGGCACTGATAATAAAAACAACGACAATGACGACCACAATAACAAAATCAGTAACAGCAGCGACCTCGGCCAGCGGCGCTTCCACGCGGTCAGCCCGAACAGTCAGTTACTGGGCCGAGCGACGGTCGACGTGGACAGACAAGCGCTGGTAACTGTGACTGACACTTCCTGCGAGGCACTGGCATCACGTGTGTGCGGTGGGGGGGGGGGGAGGTGTCTCGTGTGGCGGGCAAGCACAGGCCAGGTCACGTGTGGAGGGAAGGAAGAGGGGGGGGGGGGGGGGCAGGGGGAGTCCTGTGGGAGAGGCGAGTGTACAATGAGAGGGAGAGGATGTGTCCAAAGGAGAGTGAAGGGAGAGCATATGTAAGAATTAGGTCGCTAGATATTGTTTTTTAAAAGTCTAAAATAAGTGAGCCAAAATAAAATCAAGTTGGAGGAACGAACGGTAAGAAGAGGTTGGAAAGAAAACGTGGCTAGAAAGTAAATAAAAGAAAGGAATGCACTTCAGAATAATGATTAATAAAAAAAAACCCCGACTGGGTTGCCTCTCGCATTTTCCGCTGAATGTCCGCTTCTTCCGTAAGAGGATGAACCGTATTCATGTTGACAAATGTGGAAAGGTATGAATGAGAACGAATATCTTGACAATACAAGAGATGTATTTGACCGGTTTCGAATATATCTTTCCGCATGCAAATGAGCCACGTCGGCAGAGTACCCACGTAGTCCCGAGAATCATACACGTCACATTATTTAAAAAGAAATATAACTATGTGAAAGAGACTGCTCTATTGTATATAGAGATATCCTCGAATATCAACTCATTTACAAAAATAAGAAAGAAAGAAAGAAAAAACACGTAGTAGTGCAGGAATCCGACGACAAGGGCGCCGCCCCTTCGTCTGGCAGGCATGCAGGGGCGTGCGCGCGGGCCTCGATTCGGACACGCAAACACTGACGGAAAAGGTGTTTGTGCGAAAGAGGAGACCTTTACACATCGAGAAGGCATGCGAGGGGGGGTATGGAGGGGGTGTTGCTATGGACCCTCCCCTCCCTGCCCCCTCCCCTCCTATCTGAATCAGGATCAAGTTTTTTTGAATATGGTAGAAAAAGTAGCACCATTTTTTAATCTTTTTTTTTTTTTTAGCCTGTTGGTATTTGTCGACGCGGAAGAAAAACAAAACCGGGCCACCAGCACTTCATCAAAGGCTGTGCATGAAGAAGGAAGTCCATTAACTGCACTTTATATGACAGAACCAATAACAATATCAAAAGAAAAAGAAAAAAAAAAAAGAAAAGAAAAAAAAAAAGAAGCGAAATCAAACTCTCACAACAGAAAAAAAAAAAGAAGAAAAGTACGGAGGGAGAGCAGGAAGCCAAGAGGCGGGGCGAGGGGGGGGGGGAGGTTGGAAGCTACGGAGGTTTCCGTGGGGCTTCATTCGATCCGCAGGAAGCACTCGCCGCCCAGACAGTACGCCCATGCGATCCACTTACCTCCTCACATGCCGCCCTCGTGACTCACTCGAGCGCACTCACTCGTCTTTCCTACTAATGGATTCAAGGACTGCCATGCACTCGGTTCGTGGGCGGAGAGAGCCTCTGCTAGAACGGGCTACGCATCGCACTGCAACGGGCGAGACTGCGACGCACCTTCACGAACAGAATTAAGGACCTGAAAAAGCAAGCGCAGGAGTTCGTTCCTGACATCCCCCCCCCCTTGGTGTTCTCCCTTCCCCCTGACCAAGGCAAAGCCCCAGAGCCCGGTTCACTCACCCTCAGGAGGGGCGCCCTCGAGCGCAGGAGCGCGGCCGAGCACCCGAGCGTCCCCGCGGCCATTCTCCACGAGGCGGCGGCCATGGCGTCCTTCAGGAGGTGGACTGGACGCTACAAAAGCCTAGAGCCCTGGTTCCTCACGCCGCGTGGGGAGGACGCGGGTGTCTGGCGAAGGGGCGAGGGCGACGGCGGGCGACGGCAGGAGGCGCTGAAGGAGGGACGCTCGCAGCGACATGCAGCGCCGTGGTCGAGGGCCAGGCGGGCGGGGCGGCGCTGGAAGGGCGGAGGGAAACGAGGGTTAGGCGGGCTGCGCCAAGCATAGAGAAATCAGGCTTTACGTTTTAAAAAACATATGATACATATACACAGGATATGGACGGTCAACAAAACAAAAACAAAAGGCTTTTTCGCGCACGCGCACAACACTGGTGGGCAAAAGATCAACAATGGCCGCTGAATCAGCTGTGAGAACGATGTCAACCTACTACAAATCTCTCGATTTAGTTGCTAAAAACGTCATGATGAAAAACTTGAGTATTCTAAAGGTACAGAAAGCTTACCAGATCCTTTCTCTCTCTCTGATGGCTGGTTTGAAAGCCCCAATGGTTGGCCCATGTTAGTTTTGATGATATTTATCTCTACCTAATACACACGCCGGGTGGTTACACAGATGAGTTGAAGTCTACAAATCACTCGAAGCTTTCAAGTATTTTTCTTAAGTTTTAAAACAAAACAGGATTAATGGAATTAAGTATTCAACATCAGAAAAAAAATCAGAATACAGCTATCTGTATTTGCTGTATTTTGGGTCATAGTAATTTTGGTTGACCGACCTTTATACAAACACCTGGTGTTTACACATAAAAAGAATTAAAGGCCTACAAATCTCTGGAAGGGTACAAGTAATCAATACTGCTTATAATAAGACTGGTTCGTAGTCGTAGGATTAAATTCTCCTGAACTTATGAAATTCTTTCTTGCTCGCTCTTTGCCTTTTAGGCCTGGTTTTTCGAAAAGTTGCTCAAATCAGGGCTTTTATAAGTATATACGTTATAGCCAGATTTTCCTAAAATGGCAAGTTTACATTCCCACGCAATGTAATCATCATGATACCTTGAAAAGATTTAAGCAAATTTCCTGAAGTTGTTGAGAGGGCAGTGTAGCAGTCATTAGATTTACTATCTTCATTTTGTTCCCATTTAATGTCTTACGACCTTTGTTCAGGGAAAGTTTTAAAATCTAATTAACAAACTTAAAGTGGAAGAATATACTCAATAGTAACCAGTCAACCACAACATCTACCACCGCCTAGGCCTATGCCTATCCACGGGGAAATACATCCCCTAGAAAGAGTTATGACGATATAACATAACCGTTTAAATTTTAGAATATCTTTATGGAAAAGCTACCGTACGTATCATTAGCACAAACATCACTCCCAGGTGCAGGATCAAAGTTGTTGCGATTGATAGCCAAAGCCTCCTTTTCTCGGGGTCTTTCGGAAAACATTTAAAACTCAGAGCTGAACCGTTTTGCTGTCCATTTGTACATCCGATAATGATGCAACTGTTTACCATGTCGAAGTTTCTTAGAAAAGGGTGAAAAGGGATGCGAATCTTATATAAATCGAGAAAAAGGGACGATGTTCGCGACAGACCAATACTTAATAACGAAGTTCGTGGGATTTTGATGTTTTTGCCCACCGATCGATCACGTGACAGCTCTGGTGACGTCACGATGACCGTCCCTATAGGTAAGCAACCCCCCCCCCAGACACACGCATGCCAACCGAAGCAGCCAAAGCAAATGCACGGCGCGCGCGCGTCTCCCGCAGGGCCTAACGAGAGTCATTTCCGCGAATCCTGTCGCCGCCGGAGACACGTGTTGGCTTTCCACAGAGCGAGTCGGGAAATGGCGACCCGACACAAGAACAAGGTCTTAATAAGTACTTATATAGACCTTGCACAAGAACTCGCCCCGCATGGCACCGAGAAAGTCCCGAAGTGACGTGGCGGCGTCACAGCTCAGCGAGAGAGCGTGAGGCTCTGAGTCATGCAACATCACTCGTGTCCCATTCTGGTCTTGAAAGTCATGCACGACAGAAATATGGAGTTTTCGGATTTAAATAAAAGGAAAAAAAATCCAATATAGATGAGGGATTAGGACACGAAAATGCAAAATTTAATAAGCTAACAAGAAATCAGTGATGGTAATCATCATCATAATACAAAAATTCCATTACTGTAGATATCAAACTTTTATCATTCCGGTCAAAATCACCATGGCCGCTTTTTGCACTCACATTTGACCGTATTTAACAGCATCAATGATCGTGTGCTATATTCCCTGACGAGAAAGAGCTCAGTAAAAGCATGGACGCTTCCAGTGCTTCCATAGTTGTTCAGATTAGAAATACAGAATATGATGACATCACGGGCTTCCCAATCGCCAATCACAAAGCATTTTTTCTGCCAGTCATCTACGCCTGATAAGAGACACCCATCTGTATATCTCAGCCAAATCGGAAACCTGTTGAAGAATCCTCGGCTCATCTAATCATTACGTCATCGAATCTGAAACCACGAATCCAAGATTTCCGTTTTATCAGAGGCTGCAGGGCGGTGAGACTGTGGCTCTCACGCCTCCAGCCCTGCCATGCAGCAGAAATGTGCACGCCACAAGCACACATACTCGCTACCATCTGTGTTTAAAATGAAATGATTCACAACTTTTTACCCTGAAATTACTCTTGTAACTGTTCATCGGACGAGCACTAAAGATTGATGATTTTCTGGGCCCCTTGGCTTTCATGAATCAAGGCGCAGGGCGATGGTAATGAGGGTAACTGGAAGCCCCCAGACAGCGCATACCTCCGCCACAGCAATAGGATCACTGGAGCAATAAAAATATTCTCACTTGAAAAATGACATCAATATCACCTTTTAAAAGTCCGCTGGTGACGTCCGTTTCCCTCTCCAACAATGCTAAAGAATCATTTAAAAAAATCCTTACCCGGATCACCACCAAAATGGCAAGTTGGGCTTCGACAAACCTCTGGCAAAACATTCATAAAAATCTGTTCAAACCTTTCGAGTTCTCCTGCGCAGGATCCTGATCAAAATTGAATGGCATCTAAGTAGGACTAAAGGCGCGGTTCAACTGGTCTTGTGTACGCGCAGGTCTGGCCGTAAGTGCGGTAATTTGGGCAGAATCGGTCACTGATGCGAAATCTGGGGTCTGAAGGCCATATCACACTAACACTTTTTCCGTCAATTTTTGCGTTTCCGTCTGAATTTGAGGCTCTCCGCAAGTATTGCAAACGGAACGCCTCCAGACGAAGACGGTTACGACCGTTTCCGTGGCTAATTTCCGTCTTGATTGTCTATTAATAAATTAGATAGAGTGAGTGAATGTAAACATAAGCTAATATTTTAGAACATTCGTATATACAATGTACATCATCATATTTCTTTAAAATAACGTAATGTGTATGAGAATGGTCGTGTGATTCCCAGGACCTCAAACTCCCATAGCGCCAGGTTTGTTTACACGTGCGGGCAGCCAGCGACGACACGGCTCCAGCGGCTTTTTCCTCGGTATCTCCGGGCTTTCCAAGCTGCAGTTTAAAATTACTGTCTGTTATTCGCGTACAGAAACCATCAATATCTATAAAGTCAACAAAAGTTATATTAGACTTCATATAAAAAACATTTAGTTAATAATCACAAAATTCGTTTATTAACAAAAACAAATAAACAAAAAAATTGCTAATTTGAAACAGAATCTACAACTGAGTCGACGGCCCGTCAGACTATAGCGTTCATAATTTTGAATCTGATATATAGGCTTCCGTACCATGATTCACGAAACTATGCTGACACAGGGAATAAGTCCTCGTGCTCCATGTTGCTCAAAGGAGGACTATGCATGGTGTTATTCAAGCGAGAGGCGTGTGCAGTCCATTAAGATACACCTCTGGTACATATTTCGTAAAAATCTGTTCATAACCTTTGGAGTTATCCACTAAACAACCAACAAACTAACTAACCAGCGCGGAGGGAAGTGTAACAACAACAACACTAACAGTAACAACAAAAACACCAACAATGATAATAAGATGATAATAATATCAGACAGATTACCATATTCTCCTTTGTTCGAGTTCATATGGGTAATCTCTCGGCCGCAGCTCAGTGCTTGGCCGCTGATAAGATTCCAGCTGAACTTGGGCCCCTGCGTCCGATTCCAAGGAGCTCCTCGAGTGGTGTGAAGAGGCAGCCGGAGATAAGCGATTCTACTTAATTACTTGACAATACACCCTTATCAGTCACGCGCGTGTATGAATATTAATTTTCAATTGAAGATCTGGAAGAGGACGAACATGAGCAGAGCGAAGGAAATGTTTACGTTTTGGGAGTCGACCTTGGCAATGCAAAAACAAAGCCTTTAAGATAAAAAAAACGAGCATCAGGAAACCAACGCATACAGACTGCAGCAGCGTCTGACTGGCCAGAGGTCTCACGTACAACCTTACTGCCGCGGGGTTTTGCGAAAAACAATATACACCTACACACAAAAAAGAAAGAAAAAAAAGGCATAAAAACTGGTAAACGGATGGGACTTCTTGCAAGATTTCCCTCGTCCCTCTCACCAGCTGTGTGTGAGAACGTGGCTCGATTTTTATCACTGGTCGCTAATTAGGGGTTGAAACGATGATTCATTCTTTGAGACTTTATGCAAAATATGTATATAATGCAGTAAATACATATATAAAATTGGTGAACACACACACATCTATATGTATGTATATATAATATATATATATATATATATATATATATATATATATATATATATATATATATATATATATATATATACTTCTACATACTTATATGTATATATATGTTATACACACAACACACACATATAATACATATATATGTATATATGTATATGTATATGTATATGTATATATATATATATATGTATATATATATATATACATATATATATATATATATATATATATATATATTATATATATATATATATATATATTGTGTGTGTGTTATACATGTATATATAACACACACATACATGTATCTATTTATCTATATATATATACAATACACACAACACACAACATACACACACACGCACACATACAAAACACACACCACAATTATATTTACATATATATATATATATATGCTATATATATATATATATATATGTTTATGTATATATATATATATATATATACATACATA